TTGAGGAATGTTTAAGGTTCTGCTTCTGGCTTCTCTAGCCACCTCGACCCTAGACACATCAGGCTGTTGTAAAGTTTCTTTGATGTTATCTTTCCATATTATTTTTGGTCCACCTTGTGCTCTACATCCTTCTCTTTTAGTAAATTCCCAGTGTTTCACCATATCACATTCTTGGACAGACTATTTTATCTGCTGTCTTTGTACGTAATTTAGAATTGATACTCTGCCGACTTTTCCTCTAGTGCCCTCATTCCAAATTTGATCTCCTCTGGGTCACTCCTGCAGCCCTTAGACATCTGATTTCCAGGGTAATTAATTTTCTTCTCTGGTTCCCCACATTAGTACCGCTATAGTGAAGCAATCTGTTGGAATAGTTTCTGTTGACTGTGCCGGCAGATACACAGTAGCTTATGTGGAGTCACAAATACCATTTATTTTTCACAAGAAAACCATGCTGCATTGCGTTTGTTTCAAATAACTGCATGTGTATGCAAGCTTATCTTTCAGTGTGTCTTGTGAATGGGTTTGTTGTATATAGTTTATGTCAGCTTTATCATTCCAAATAAAAAAAAAATTAAACAGCAGCATCTATAAGTCTTGTCCATTTTAGTCATACATTTGTGTCTTTGACTATAGGTCCTGATGGTTAGCAACAAGAAAAAGAGGCAATTTGATGTGGTCATTATTCATCATCATCATCAATTTCCACTTTTGCCGTTTAGTGTTGTGGGGAGGAACAGTTTGCGATCCACTGCTTGATGGGCAGCAATGGCTATTGTCATTCCACGTTGATGTAGAAGCTCTTTAATGTCATCAGTCCATGTCCTACTAGAGTTGCCTCTTTCTATAAACTCAGATCTTTCATGTATAGTGCCTGCGTTGGTAGTTGTTCTGGCTGCATTCTTACTAGATGACCAAACCATTTGATCTTTTGTTTCTCCGTGAATTTGCTGCACGGTGTTGTTCCTACAGTCATTTAAAGTAATATCGTTTCTAACTTTGTCTCAGATGGTGATCATCAGTCATCATCAGTTCTCGTTATGCCCAGTGGCACATGAGGCTTCAGAGAGGACTTTCCATGCTTTCCTGTCCTGTGAAATCTTCAGTGCAGTTTTTCATGTCAAAGATTGGAATTGAATTAAATCAGCATTATCGTTAAATCTGATCTTTTTTGTATAGATACCTCATTACAAATGGGTTAGTGGTGATTATATTACTAATTCTTCTTCATCTTCATCTCCTCCTCCTCCCTCTCGATATTCCGAGCCCTTGAGGTTCGTTACTGCAGAATCACTTGTCCTCATTCATCTCTCTGAGAGGCCTTCTTTTTCTAGTCGTCGAAGTCATGCGACTTGTTTGTAGGTCTGGATGTGTAGAATCTCTCTGTCATCCTTGTCTACTCATATTTATCTCGTGTGTAAATACTATGCAGTTTTTGTTTCATTTATATGTCACTCTATACGTAGTCAGTCGCATGCTGCTAGTAATTGGCAGTGATTAATCATATTTATAATAGGTTAGTTGCGTATCCTTTACAGGACGTTGCCGAACCAACACTCAACAGCCCCTGGCTGTTGTGTGGTTTTTCTATGCAAATTTACGTCCATTAGTTTGCCATTGCTTCCTGGACGGTCGGCTTTCTTGATACCACTGTCGAAACCAACGCAAGGCGCATGGCCCGCAGCTGGGATCGAACCCGGCATCCCGGCATTACGAAGCGTTCGCATCGAATTAGCCACAGAGCCGACCATATTTATAATATTCTAAAAATTGTCTTTAAAGGCTAAAATGAGAAGATGTGTGTACTTCAGAGAACACCGTTCCTACAGAACAATTCTAGTGGATAATGAAACCACATTCTTAACATTTCCCGAACTTAATAAACTTGGACAAACAAGAATATTCTTAACATCTGACGAGATATATGGTGCAGTCTATTGTTTGTGTCATCTTTGTTCAAGAATATTCTTGGCTACCTGTTAACCTTGTCGTAGCCTATTCAAGGTCATGGAGAGGATCACAAGTGAATGGTTTGCATTAGTGTAAAGTAAAGAGCAGAATTATTCAATTAGCGGTCCGTGGGCCGAATCCAGCCCGCAGAGGCCTAGCAAGTGGCCGTCGGATCATTGCCACCTCATTGTATTAATGATCTTTGTACCCCGGGCGGGGCTCAAGACTCTGGCCTGTGACGATCCCCAGTTTTCAACATTATGGCCTCCTGAGTCAATTGTTGAATAGCCCTGATGTAAAGTGTCAGCTAAGATCAGTGAACTTAGCGAAAGACTCACCAGACAACTGCTACTGAAGACGGCCTTGATCTAAATTTCGTTGTCCGGGTCACGAATCAACCGAGCGGAACACGTCTTTGAAGACTGGCTAGAACATACATGTCTCACCTCGACTTGTGAAAACGAGATGAACTGAACTGAACTGAATTTCTACCCCACCAGGACATCACACAAGCGATAAACACCCAATGACACAAAGTGCCACCATGTGGATGAGGATCGCCGTGGAGAGGTCCCAGAAACCGCGTTCAGACATTTGGCCATATATGGCCTGCCTATATTGCGGCCCCTGGCAAAAGCCAGAGTGGGGCTTCAAATGACAAAAAATTTCGTCCTGAAAAGGACGAGATTTGTTATAGCTAAAAAACGAGATGGCAAAAGATAGAACGGCTTTTCCTAAGTTTGGTGAGAACTTCCGCTTCATCACGCGATAAGATGAAGAAAAGGAAGCAGCAGAAAAGAAGAAGAAGGAGGAGGGGTGACAGAAGAACAAGACGACTACAACGAAGAAGAAGAAACATGCCCATAGATAAGAAAAACAGTTTTGGCTAGTCATATAATGAGAAGATAGGGATCAGACGACGCCGTGACGACTTGAAAGGGATAGAAAAGGGGGGGGGGGGGGAGGTTGAGATGACGAGGCAGACTGAGATAACCTGAATGATCCGAGACAGCGTTTTTCGACATTTTTACACTCGCGTGCAAAGAAAATAAGGGCAACAGCCTCCCCCCCCCCCCCCACCCCTCCTTTTCCACGAAAATATAGATACCGGTTTATTTGTTAATCTGATGCTCGTCATCGTCATCAAGAGCCTTGCCAGCTGGCGTAGGAGTTCATGCGTCGCACATTTCTCGGTTTTTGGTGTTCTGGATCAATTCTACTGATGATATTCCTCCATGCTACTGTCTCAAGCCGTCCACCATCATTTCTCTCGGTCTGTCTCAGCTCCTTCTACCAATGCTTCTTGCAGTCGTCACGATATTTTCCAGTGCTCCTTTTCTCATTATATGACGAAAGAACTTTGTTCGTCTTCTTCACATTGTTGTATATAATGTTCTGCGTTCATCGGCAATTTCTAGGCATTCGGTGTTGGTTATTCTGGCAGTCCAAGGTATTCTCAACATTCTTCTCAAGAACCACATGTCAGTAACCTTCTAACTCTTTTTAATTTGCACATGTCAGTGACCTGCAAACTCTTTTTAATTTGCTTGCTCACATTCCAAGATTCACTACCATACAGCAGAACAGGCTCGGTATAATATTTCAATACTCGTTTTCTTATGTTTAATAAGAGTGATTTATTACATAAAATACTTTTCATCTTCAGAAAAGCTGCCTTTGCTTGGCCAGTTCTACTCTTAATTTCTGCTTAGATGTTAGACAATCGTAGCTAAGTAGCTGGAGCATTGTTCTTTATATACGAAGCCCTACAATGAAACGTCCATTCCATGTTTAGGGTTTGTTACTGACATGGCTAACAGAATTACCACACAATCTGATATATCTAATTACTCAGAGATAGGTATTCTTGTTCTAGTGGTGTCCAAAACTAAGACAATGATTGCATTTTATGTCTGGACTCAGAAGACATCAGAAGACAACTCGATCAACTTTTTTTTTTACTTCGTGATTATCACGTGCTCATGATGATATATTATTCCAGACAATACCTTTACGAGGATTCTCATTTTCAAAACGTTTTTGTTGATTCCTGAATTAATTATCAACATCACAGGGCCGGGGACACTCCCATAAGTGCTTTAGCAACAAGCGAATAAATCTAATTTCCATTGTACACCCGTTTCACCTGTTCCTTGAGTGTTGAGCGTCGACCAGATCCTCTGGTAACTCCTCGCAGCGCCATTCTCCTCAGACAGTAGTGATCTATCTGTGCCTCCGCGCTGTTCACTCGCTCCCAAAGGGCCATCACAACATCCAGCTTGTCAAACATCAGTTTACCACCAAGCGGTGCAGAACAGACCAGTCTATCCCCACACACTAACATCACCTGGAGAAAAAATCCAATGGAAGCTTATTACCCGGGATCTCGGAGGCAATACTTACCACTCTACATGGAGCATGCATGACTCCAGTTTCACAACATGCTATGTGAGTCACTTAGAATTACGACATGTGTGTACAGCTGATTCTCAAGCCAGCGAAAGGCAGCCGTGACTGCCTCCACCTCCATTCTCAAACTAGACGTTGTGATATCGTATGCCAAGGCTTTTTTGCACTAAGCGATGTCCATTCACTTTTTCTACGAATCTCCATGCACTTCGCCTGTCTCTCAACACAGAGCCTTCTGTATAAAAAATCACATCAATGAATCGTCATGAATCATTTATTGAACTTCTGGCCAATTCTATTGTGTAGCAGAACAAATCCTTGAACCCAGCAACAAACTTTGACCTATAACCTTTGAACGACTTTCATTTCAACAGCTGACTATAATTAATATGTAACATATTAATAATATTAAATAAAGAAATATCTATGATCTATTAAATAAACATCGTCACAAATTGTATTTTAAAATATATATTGCATCAGTACGATACAAGACAACATGTAGACCTACTGACAAGGGCAGGCAATTCCAGCAGCAGGGGCGGATAACTCAGACCGGCTAATAAAAGTCCTCTCGCTAGCAGACGCAGACCATTTGCCCCGGCGCCGGTTTGAGAGAAGGATCAACTGTTAAATCTACCATGGTTGTCCAGCTCAAGAATGTTCTTATTAGTGACGAAGTCGATCCAAAATGTGTGCAGATTCTTCAGAGCAATGGAATAGAGGTGGTGCAGAATGTGACTTTGAGCAAAGAGCAGCTGATTGCAGAGATTCCTGTATGTATAAGATAGATGCTTGTGTGGGATGTTAGTGACTGTTATTTGTCCCTATTGTTGGCAGTTTTTGAACTTGTTTTTTGTGTCTGGCCTTGAACTAGTTTCTCGTACTTTATGTAGTTTTGTACACGTGTGTAGCTTTATTCTTACTGTCCACGTCAATTGCTCTTTTTGCATAAGTTGCGTAAAAATAATTTTAAGATATTAATAGTAATACTATGGTTCAGAAGCTAAGTATATTAACACTAAACAACAGTTTCACTCAGTCGTAATTACAGGGGGTTAACAGTGGGCATAGTGACATAGAACTTAAACAAAAAAGCAGGAAATTGGAAAAGCTGGGTGAAAGGCGGTAAAGTTAAAAAGAAGAAAGCTAAGACCTGCTGTATGTTGTTGTAACTAAGAAAATAAAACGTATGACAAGCTTGTCTAAATTGTTAGACCTTGAACAGATGTTTCTTCGGCAGTTAAATAGTTGGATTTGGAATGGGAAAATAACAAAGATGACACATTATCCAGCAGATAAAAATTTCCAGATCCATTTAAATAAACCCTTGGTGACATCTGATCTCAATCATTGCTCTGTTATAACAGTTAATGCTTTACACTGGAAGACTCACTTTTTCAGATCTGGCCTTCCATTCTAAAACTTTAGGCTTACAAAATGATCTTTATATCTATTCATCCAGTCTAAACATTTTCCTGTCCATCTGTTGAGTTCACTTATCCCTTGCACCATCATCATTTGCCTTGGCAACTGGCGGAGGCAATCTGCCTCTCCACAATTTGCAACTGTGTGTGTCAGTTTGTGTGTTGACACTCTTCCATGCCATGACAAAAAGCTGTCAAGAAACCTCTTGCACTTTCTTCCCCTGTCTCTCTTTCCACAGATCTTTTCAGTGGTCGCAACATGTTCGTTTCCTACTTCTCATAACATGGCCAAACAATGATGACTTTTATGATGTTTGTTATAAGTTGTCTTTAAGCCCTCACCTCTGTCAAAACATCTGGCTTGCTGTTTTTGGCTGTCCAAAAAATTCTAATAATTCTTCTATAATGATCCTGATAATGGTTAAAATTGGAGTATCTGTAAGAATATATAAAGCAAGTATTACATGTCAGAATGTTCAGATCTGAATAGTGAAAATGTGTTGCATGAGGATGTTTGGGGGATGAACGGGAGAGCGGATAACAACATGATGGAATGACAGTTGAGAGTATGAAGAAGCTATAGAAAGTGTTATTCCCAGTCTCTGAATGCAGATTTGTATTGGTGTTATAATAAAGTAGATGTAAAGCCATTGTGTGTCCATGTCAATAAGTACAGATGTGTGCTGCAAGTACATGACTCTTCTATAAAACCACATCTCTAAGGCTGCAGTAAATTGTTTGGCTTGACCTGTTCACCTTTCCCGGCCCATCTACACACTTTCTCAGTCTGATGTAGGTCAGAGGGGTGTCACATTGTACTGCTATCTTTGAAAGGAGTCTCTTATGTGTCCTAGGCTCAGGTTGTGGGTCCTAGGCTCAGGTTGTGGGTAGGGTGTTCGGGTTTGAGCCGGTTCTAGATGTTCTGGGGTCATTGAAAGCTGTGTCTTCGGGTAGTATAGAATATGCAGCATCGGTGCAGATGTAATTGGAAGCAAGACAGCGTGACACCCCCTCCAATGTAAAAGAAATTATGAGAAAGTATGAATGAAAGGTCAGCCAGTATGTAGATGGGCCGGGAATCAGGAACTGGACTGTTTGGCTTGTTTATTAATTTTAACCCTTGCACACTGCGATCAGTTTTCATTATCTCTATTTTCCCTTTTTATTTCACCCTGTAACTCTTTAATACAAAATAAGCCAGTTTATAAAACGCATGTTCATGAAAAGCTCAAGTTCTAGGTCAAGACCAATAAGTCCAGGAGTGGACAAACAGCCAGAACTTTCTGCCAGAGTTTACAGCCGGTAAAGGCTAAGAAAAAAGAACTTATACATATTTGTTAAAGCTATAAAAAGGCTTTTCTGAAATTTATATATTTTAAATATCGGCTTCTATTCCTGGCAGAAATATGATGGGTTGATTGTAAGATCAGCAACTCGAGTTACAGCTGATGTGATCAATGCTGGAGTTAATCTCAAAATTATTGGTCGTGCTGGAACTGGAGTTGACAACATCGATGCTGATGCTGCCACCAGGAGAGGGATCATTGTGATGAAGTAAGTTGTAAAGCCAGTTGCTTGCTCAGTAGATGCTTGTCTTGTAATTGCAGCATTGACACCCAGGTGATTTGATTATTTATACAGATGGCTCTGTGTTGTTCATAGCATAAGGGAATGTATGTCACTTAGTGCAGCAAAGCCTAGCAACATCTAGTTTGAAAATGGAGGTGGAGGTAATCACTACGGTCTTCCGTTGGCTTAAGTACCAGCAATACACACATGTTGCAATTGTAGTTGACTCATAGAGTTTGTTGAAAAAGGTGTAGATAGGTATGCCACATGCAGACAAGCAAGCACGACTTCAAAAGCCCTGGATAGTTGGTGTCCCTCCAGGTCATGCAGATAGACAGGCTTGTTCTATACTACCTGTTAGTGAACTGATTCATGACAAGCTGGGTGCTTTAAGGGTCCTTTGCAAGTGAGCAAACAGTGCAGAGGCACAAATAGATCATTAGTATCTTAGGAGAATGCCGTTGTGAGGAGTCACCAGAGGATCTGGGTGACATTAAAGGGAAAGGCAAGATGGATCTACAGACTGTTACTTGTATCATCAGAATTGGAACTCTGCACTTGCTGCTGAAGATGGGTACGGAGCGCTTATGGGAATGTCCCAAGTGCTTTGATTCTTAATTCAATATTTGTCTTTTAGAAGCATCAGAAGGCAGGTGACTAAAACTGATGCATAACTTCCTTAGCTGCCTTTTGAAGCTTGGTAGGTGACAGTGTTATCTGTGTTTGGTACATATGTCTGGGCAACATATAAGTAAATACAAGCTAGAAAACAACCAAAATTGAACATTGCTGACACATCCTATTTTTCTCATTGATCTATTTTCTTTTTGTTTAGCTTCTGTGATTAACCTTTATGAAGGTATTAATTTTAATTTGTATACTTAAATGGCAAGAATTTTCAGCTTCAGTATTATTAATATAGAAACAACTGTTGTAAACTAACATTAGTCACATTAACTGAAAAACACATAGGTTGCATTCTGTAATTCTCTAAACATCCCCTTTTACATTTGAAGGATTAGAATCACCTAAAAAAAATGTACTTATTTACCTTAACAGATCTGCATGACTTGAGCTATCATGTTCGTCTATTTTACCACCTGCTATTTTTCATTTCACTTAGAGGATTTACATTTAGTGAAAATTGCATGTGACTGAAAATTTTGAAACTGAAGAATTTAAGATATAGACAGGAGTTAGTGAGTAGGTGCTTAAGGATGTAACTTTTAGAAACTATAGACAAGTGGTAAATTCTGTGTCACTTGTCACTTGACTCTTGTATACTGCATATTGTGGGGAAAAAACCAATATTGTGATGTACAGTCTGTCCTGCAAATACAGCTTGTTGCTGTTGACATTGATGCTGAAATGTTATCCCAGCCTTGGAATATGATTGCTAGGGTAGTATCAGTAATGTAGGCTTCAGATCTGCATCAAGGCTAATTTTTTTTCATAAAAAATTGACCTTGTCTTCAAGGTCAGCCAATCCTAAAACAGGTACCAGATAATGTTCTGGGAAGTAGACGGGGGTTGACATGATGCTGACCACACCACAGATCAAGTGCTGTTTGTCTATAAAAATGTCTAGCACAATATTCCAGTTGTATCACAGGTGTTAAAGAACTCTTTATTTATCTTAACAGTGTCAGTAACATTTCAGTCTAGTGGTAATTTGTCCATCAGTGTTGCCACAGCACATTTCTTTACATAAGTAATCTTCAGTGAAGAATATTGACCCCACCGCAAAATAGAATTATTGTTAAAACATAAGCAACACACCACCATTTTAACAAGAATGAACTCTTTTAGTCTCGGACAGTCATAACTAATCTGAGAGTAAAGTAATAGTGGTCATAGCTCAATCAGATAGATATACATTGTTTCCTCAAGGGCAAATACACAACCTTTGTAGGAAACAAATATGACTTTGGATTGCTCTAGTAATCCCAGACTAAATTTAAGATGCAACTAGCACACGTTTCATTGATTGGTGCACATTATTAACATCTAGTTACACACTGTGTTTTCTTGAACACCTGCTACATTGAACAATCACCACACAGACTGTATTTAGTGTTGATCTGTTTACTGGCTCATCACAGTTAACATTTTTTGTTATATTTGTCATTATATCTGTTATTTTTGTCAGGTATTATGTCTCTGACCCTGAACTTGAAGCAGACATTTGAGCTTGAGTTAGCTGACACATGCAGGGACCAGTTGGAATTTCACACTTGTAGTTTCCATTGTGGTGCATTATAGTGAGAACCCAGTGTTGAACCTTTAGCTTGGGAAAGTAATGAAAACCTGGACAGTTTGCACTTAGTTTATCGCTGATGTCTTAAGGTGCAGCTGACCATGAGCTAGCTAGGTAACATCTGGAGCCTGAGCAAATAAATTTGTTCATGTTGTTTCAGTTACTTTGAACACTCATACAGGACAAGGGAGATATTCTGAAGATCATACATGAACAAATGTTGACAGAACATACAACATTAGATGTGTAAGAATTTTAGGAGGGGAACTTTAGGAGTGGATCCGGCATATGAAAGGAAGAGAACAATGTGTGTATAATCTGTGTGCTACAGGAACAGTTAGCATCTACACCTTAAGACACTTGATGCAGGAGACGGAGCATCTGTGGGTATGCCCGGTGTGCTACAATGTTGATTCTTGAATCAGTAATTAGTTCCTTAGATAGAGTTCAGTACTGAAGATTATATTTTTGGAGAGCTCCTTTACATTGTGAATGATGCATATGTACTACTTCTGTCCATTCTTGATAGTTGGACCTAATGCTTGTCTTGATTCAGTGTTTGTGGTAAATATTGATATCATGAAAATCTATTGTCTTTTAACTGGTGTGTAGTAACTGTACACATTTGCATGTGAAGTTATGGCATTGGATTGTTTATTAAAAGCATGTTTTTCTCCCTCTGTAGCACACCAGGAGGTAATACCCTAAGTGCTGCTGAACACACATGCACACTGTTGATTGCACTCACAAGGTAAACATTTGTCTGAACCTATGTACATTTCATGACAGTAACAGTAATTATGCAGAAAAATGAAGCAGAGTCAATACCAAAGAGAGGTATCTGATATTAAATCAAGATGTATTTGTTTATTAAAAAAAAAACAAAAAAACTTGTAAAGCAATTTTATATGTGAGCTACATTCCTTCATCACATTTAAGGTCATTTTGGTCCAAAAAAAAAAATAATTATGGGGGTTTCCTTGGCGAAGTGGTCAAGCCATTTGCCTCGTGCTCTGAAGGGTTTGTTTCATGGCCAAGCACTTCAGTTCAAGAGTGCAAGTTTTGATTCATAGTGAGTCATTCACAGGGAGCTACATTTCCTGTTGCTTTTAATGTTTCAGGTTATCTCTCACAAAAAGTCCAGCAGATGTTCTTTTGACGTTACTATTTTCCTTTTATCTGTAGACCTTTTTTTTCTTCTTCTTTTTCTTTCATTCACTTGAAATAGATTATTTATGTCTACAATGTTCAAACTTCACTGTCTTTTGTAATTCACTCAGCGAACCAAAACGTTTGACTTGCATCAGTGTTTCTCTTGGCCAAAAGTTTTGCCTTGATATGTTGTATTTGGGACGGTCTTGGAGGACATGATCTGTTGTCTCAGGTGCCAATCCACATGTGCACATGGCTGATTCGCCAATTTTAAATTTTGTTTACATGTGGCTATGAAGCTGATTGTGTCATGTTCTAAGGCTTGCTCTTATAACTTGCTCTGGTCTTTGCATGAAATGGTAATCGTCTTGTGCCTATTTTGGTGGCTTTCTGATTGATTTGATTATTCTCTTTTTTTGCTGATAAGAAACTCGTACGTCAGGTTTTTATTGTTGTTGTTGATCACAGTGTTTCTTCAAGTTAATTGTTCTCCTTGTTTCCTAGAACATTTGTGATCATTTGCTGGCAAGCTTTCACCACACAACTGTATCCTAATTATAACCTACAAAGTTAAATTATTGGTAAATACATTACTAACTGTGAGAATGTAAGGCAAATACTGGTCTTGGAAGGGATGACTTATCTGTGACCTGGTAAATATCTTTTGCATGATTTTGATCTTAGCCTTGGAAGTGTATCATGTAGTTGTGTCCAGCTCTATTTTGATCTAAGGCCCTTTTTAGATTTTGTATTCTTTATTTACTGTGGAGTAAAAAAATCAAGATCTCACAAGTGGTTTGTTACTTTTTTTTTCCCCCCTGGTTCAGACAATTACTTTGTAGCCACAACTGTTTCTTGAAGTTTGCAGTCTTGGGAGGGCTGTTCCACAGCCGGATGAAGTAACAGCACTATATAACCTTGCCGTAGTCCCGTTAAGATGGGTATACTTTAGCTCACCCCAAAATTGCCACTTTTATGTGTCATAGTTGATGGTGAAGAATAGTTGTTTCATGTTGTATGTTACTTCCATAGAGTCTGTATACTATTGGAACAGATGGTGAAATGTTAGCATTCTATATCCAGCTTTAAAATCCTAATGTGAATGAATCAGTGAAAAACCTTCAGTCATTGTAATTATAGTTCACATGTAGTCATAATGTGAGGTTGTCTGTCATTTTACATTTGGAGGCTGATCTGTTTTTGCTGACCACAAAAGAGAAACAGAAGATTCCGTTGCAACAGCTCTGCTGTATTTTGTTACAATCCCAAAACTATCATTAGGTCATTCAATTCAGTCTCCATAATTATGTGTTGGTGTACAAATTCTTAATTAGGCACAAATTCATGATATCTTGATGTAGTTGCTTTCACATTGCTAGTCACATTGGAAAAGTTAATATGTCAGTCTATATACTTCCATATACTTCCATATACTTCATAATTTCACATTTATTGACAAGTATATTGTGATGAGTCACTGAATATAAATGTTTTACAAAATCTGCCTTTAATAAGAGAATCTTTGTTTTTATTTTGTAAAACATGTTTTGAATAATTAGTTGGTGAGAAAATGTGCTCCATATATTTAACCTCATTGTAATTTTTTCCAGAAACCTTGGTGCAGCATCTCTGTCTATGAAGGAGGGTAAATGGGATCGTAAAAAATTTATGGGAACTGAGCTGTTTGGCAAGACATTAGCTATTATTGGACTTGGACGAATTGGTAAAGAAGTTGCTCTTCGCATGCAGTCATTTGGAATGACAGTGAGTATACTGATGTATTTGTTTCTGTATAATATTAACATACATTGTTTGTTGTTTGTAGTGTCTTGGACATTTTTTTTTAAAATTTTTGTTTCTCTGCTTGTTAGCAAAGAAAAATGTCACTGCACATATTTATTTTTGTTTGGAATGGAAAAGCCACCAAGTTACAAACTGATATGTGAAAGCATAAAATTAAAGCTGGTAGTTTCTAAAATTAAAAACCATTTTTCTGTTTTACTGAGGACGTTGACCTTGGCTATTCAACTGGCGGCTCTCAGGCCAGATCTGGCGTGCAGAGGCATAGCTAGTGGTCCGTGGATCACTGCTAGTTGTATTGTATTAATGATCATTTTGTGCTGAGGCTCAGCTCAGGCTGTGACGATCGCCATCTTCAAAATGTTGGCCAGGGTAAAATTAGTTGAATAGCCCTTATATAGACTGTCAAGTAGTGCTTGCCAGGGCAGATGAAAATGGCAGCTATCCTCTCTGTGTCCACATTACTGGCAGATAATTTAAGGCTGGAAACAAAGGTGATTTAAAAAAAAAAAAGTCTGGCTCCATCAGGATCCAGTCCCACTACATTCCGATCTGCAGGCGAGTGTCTAACTGCTACACTGGTGGCCCCCATAATAAATAGGCACTTTGAATTTACTTATGTGGTCAGTGTTAAATTGTATATGTTTGAATTCTTACTTATGATTTATAAGTCAGGTCCCTGTCTTTTTTATGACTATAAGTTTGACATTATATTGTCTTATTTTTTTCCCTCCTAAGACAATTGGATTTGATCCGCTTGTCAGCCCAGCAGAGAGTGCCACATTCAACACTGAATGGCTTTCCCTAGAGGAGATTTGGCCAAGAGCTGATTACATCACTCTGCATACACCTTTGATTCCTCAGACAAAAAGTGAGTTCAGCACTAATGCTTATTAACTATAAGTGTGGATACCAAGCATGAGTATGCCAACATTACAGGGAATCACATGGATATACTGTCCGGCAAACACGGGAGTATGAGGCAATGAGAGAGCAGATTTTCTGGCTACAAAAGCGATAGCTATGGAAACACTCATAGTGGGCAAGGAAGATAGATATTCTGAAGACTATATATGAACGACTGTTGACAGAAGACACGACAGAGTTAGATGAAATAACATGTGTAAGAATGTGTGAACAAGGAATTAGGAGTGGATCTGGCAAGGACAGGCATATGATAGGAAGAGAACGACATGTGTAAATCACAGTTTGCTACGGGAACCGTTAGCATCTACGCTTTAAGACATTTGCTGCAGGAGTTGGAGCACCTATGGATATGCCCGTTGTGCTATGATGTCGATTCTTAAATCAGTAATCAATTATTGGTAGCAACTGTGTGTGTCTTGAGTGGTGATGGCTCATGAGAGGGTGACCATCAAAAATGTTGAAAGATACATCCACTTTGGTTCCGTTCGTGAAATTCATGAATGTAAGTGTTGAACGTATTTTTAATTTTTAGGGGACAATCCATTGAATTTCATCCATATTTTAGAACTCTTAATGTACAGGAAGATAAGAGTGTATACTATCATATTTACTGGTAAACTCAGTCAGTTTTATCAGAATATGTTGGGGGGGGGGGGGGGGGGGGGGGTTGAGAAAAAAGTTGGCTTGGGTGGCATGGCATTGTGAAAGAACTGCAAACAAGATTTTATGCTAATGGATGCCCTATATGTCCCTCTGGTTTTTAGAAACAAAATGTTTCCTGAAACTATTTTATGACGAATTCTGCTGCTTACATTCATTTTAAGTTTTCTTTGAAATAATAGTTTCTAGTAAGCAGTGTTTTCTCTAAATGGCTTTAAATTTTGCAGGGAACTGTTTAGTATTATTGTACATATTTATGTACCACAAGACCCATTCTGTTCATATATGTTTTGCACACCCTACAGTAAATCTGTGCTGTTTAACTTGCATCATATACTTTGCTATATTTTTAACCCATTCGCCCCAAGTTCATTTAAATAACATTGTACCCTTATAATTCTCTAACAACCTACCTTAAGAAACAAGAAGAAGAAGCAGAAGAACATTGGAATCTTGGCCAGTTTTTAAATAAATCCTGAAGGTCGAACTCTAGGCCACCGAGCAGACAAACAGACTTGAAGTCTACAGCCTAGTCCCCACTGTCAGGTCACCCAGCCGAAGAAAATGAGTACTAAATGAAAGTTCTGGGAAGTAAAAGCAGCTGACATGATGTTGACCACATCTCCCACAGAGTGCAGGTTGGTCTATCAAATATAGAACTTCCATAATATCCCCAGTAGGCCTCAGGATGCAGAGAAGTCTCTTCACTTGTACTCTCTGTATTTTTAGCCACCTTCATACACTTGCTATGCTTTTTTGTCTATGATTTGTAAGTGAATTTGGAACATCTTTGCTTCCTGTAGTCTTCATTAATGTGTTTGGTTTTGTTGCATCAGATCTCATTAACGATGATGTATTTGCCAAGTGCAAGAAAGGGATTCGGATAGTAAATTGCGCACGTGGGGGCATCATTGATGAAGATGCCTTGTTGAGGGCTCTTGAATCTGGCCAGTGTGCTGCAGCTGGGCTAGATGTGTTCCTAGAGGTAAGAAAGTATTTATGTTGTACCCAACCAAAAAAAAAAAAATGAAATGTCTTGTATCTGGGCTCCTTTTGGCGAAGTGGTCAGGCCATTTGTCTCACACTCTGAAGGTAGTGGGTTCGTTTCTCAAACATGTCATCCAGTTCACAATTAAAGATCCCTAGGGAATGCCACTTGAGCTAGAGAGTTTGTTCTTTGTTCAGCACTCTCGGCAGATGGCTAGACTATGGAGGGAGAGAGCCATATGAAATGGTCCAGTGAAGGAAAACGTTCTTGACTTAAACTTCGTATTGTTGCTGTTATGGGCTGCAGTGGTAAATTAGCCAAGCTTATTTATGCCTTAATGTGAATTCATGGGTAATGGGTGTTAAAACCTGAGGTAAGACAACCAGGTCTGTCTGCCTGGATTTACGTGAACGCAAATTACATCTACAGCATTTCAGCATCATATAGAACATGCCATCAAATAATCATGCTGCATTGTTTACACTGACAGTCATACCTGTCTTTATTTAAACTTTCCATAACATAATCAGAGATGCATGTGAGAATTAGCACAAAGTTTCAATTTTCCATATGTTTTTTTTTTTTGAAGAAAACGTCTACAGTTGGTACCAGAAAATGTTATGACAGAAAATGTTATGAGAAGTTAGTGTCACCATTGTGATATTACCATATCACTAAGGTTAGCTCTGTGTTCCCAATACTCAAGGTGTGGTAGAGGGTTGTTTACCTTTACCAGACCAAGCCCAGCACCTTTTTGGCTGTTCGTGATTTTACTAGGTAATCTGATGTTCAGTAGTTTGCCATTGCTCTCTGAACAGCCGGCTCTCAAAACCACTGTTGAAACCAATGCAAAGCAGTCTGCTGCCAAGTTGCCCACAGCTGGAATTGAACCTGGCACCTTGGAATTACAAAGCGCATTCTCAACACCTAAACCACAAACACCAACAATACATGGTGTAATTCCTACCTCTTTGCTGGCATTGTTAGTCATATATAGAGACTGTCATACCTGTTTGTAGCACTCTATTCCTTTATATGTTAAACTGTTTGTTGTTAGGTTTAATTCATGATACCGTTGAACTTGCAGGAACCCCCCAAAGATTACACACTAGTCAAACACCCCAATGTCATTGCCACACCTCACCTAGGGGCCAGCACGATTGAAGCACAGAGCAGAGTTGCTGAGGAAATAGCTCAGCAGTTTGTGGATTTGGTGCAGGGCAAGTGTTTGTTTGGTGCGGTAAGTCTCCAGTTTGTCTTGCTTGTGAACTAGTGAAAATAACATAGCTGCTTGCAGTAGTATGTGAACGTAACTAACAATTTGACTTTTGATTGTCACTTCATAAGCACATACATATCTTTAGTTTCTGAGCAGTCAACAAAATAATAACATTTTGCATTATCACATTTATTATACCTCCTGGGATATTTCAAATACTAAGTGCCAATTAAACTAACGTTGTTTATGAGTTGTATGCTTATCAATCATGCACTTGTTTCTTTTTGATCAAGTAGTCAGGCCATGTTGTTTTATTGTCAGAATACTGTTATGAAATTTCTGAATATGCTACTATTCCATTACAGGTTTGTGACCTGCTTATCAACTTATTTTTAGGGATGTATTGAGGTTGTTTTCCCTTGATTTTCAATTCCACAGTAGTGGATTTATTTTGTGACTTTTGCCTTTGATAGCAGTTTCCACCTGTCAGGAGTGTCCATGTGCGTAGTTTTCCAGTGATTTTTATTGGTAATCTGTTCCTTGAACTGCACTACTGTAGTTTCTATTTTACCTGTGCGCTTCCTTTAGAAGTTGCACTTCATCAAACCAAGACTATAATAGCTGTTCTTAAAATCTTCAGTAGTTACAAGGATGATTAAGCTTAGTAAGCTGTATATTCATTACAAAAAACACAAAAAGACACACTCATAAAAACAATGTAATGAACTTCTATTTATCAGTTATCCAAACCCCTGAAAGCAAATACAGAAGGTAATCACAGATAGTAATTACTTTGGCATACTGATGACCATAACATGGCAGCTAAAGAACTAAATTTGACAAATTCTTTCAAGAAAATAAAATGACTTTTGCAAGCAAAGTTAGAAGAAATGTTTTTTGCCAAGTAGACAGGCACTAAAGCAACAAAAAGAACTAAAAAAGATCAGAGTACTGAAAAGTTTCTGTTGAAAGATAGTATTAGATGAGTGATTTGATGCAGAAGAGCAAAATAAGAATGAAGTATTAGTAGTAACTTAATAAGAAATGGAATGGTGACCATAAAAGTCCTTATGTAGCACAACCTGTAAATAATTGTAGATGTATAAATGTTACACATGTTATCTTTGCTTGACAGCTGAAGTACTGAATTTGTATAAGATGTTAATCATATTTGTTATTATAAATTATCTTAGAGAACTGTTAGTTTAGTTCTCTTGACTGATCCAATGATAAATAAGTAGACCATAAAAAACACAAAATTGATAGCATCATATTCAGCTAAAGTCATACAGCTTGTTTTGTGGCATGAGTTTAGTTAGTTCATCATGGCGCAAGTGATATTATTTTGTATTTCTATCTAAGGTAGATAAGGGTTTCCTGGAAATGTAGCTGACATCGAGTTAGTTCATTTTTAACTGAATGTCAGTTTTTTCTACTCATACAGTAAAACCTTTGAATGTTGAATTAAGAATCAACATCACAGTACTTGGGACACTCCCATAAGTGCCCAGTCCCTATCTTCAGAAGCAAGAGAAGAGTTCCAGTTCTGATACCAGTAACCGTCTGATTGTATATCCATCTCATCCTTCCCCTGAGTGTTGAGCGTCGGCTAGATCCCCTGGTAACTCCTCGCAGCGCCATTTTCCTTACACCGTAATGATCTATCTGCGCCTCCTCACTGTTTATTTGCTCCCAAAGGGCCCTCACAATGTCTAACCTGTCATACATCAGTTCACTACCAAGTGGTGCAGAGCCAGCCAGTCTATTTGGCTGCTAATTTCCCAACACACCGGCATGACCTGGAGAAAAGGATGTTAACTACCCAGGACCTTAGAAGTGATGCTTGCCACTTTGCATGAAGCATGTAAAGTTTTGATTAACCATCACTCATTTATTAGTCGGTTTCTGTTATCCGTCGATAAAAACAATACATAAGTATGAACTCTTTCAAGCCCATGAATTTTGACAGACTAGGCCCACATTAATTTCCCTTTACTAAAAGGGCATATGGGGTGGTATACAAGAAAGGTGATAGAGAATGTAATATACTTCTAATCCCTATAAAATATATTTTTTTAAAAAGAGAAATGAATGTACATTTTGAATCTGATAAGTGAATGTTTAAATTTTATTTTATTTTAGTTAGTAGGAAAGAAGAATTCAGCAGGTGTTAATTTCACAACAACAACATTTTGCAAACAAATTTTTCACTTACCATGGTTTTGCAGCTACGAGAGTAGTGAATATCCAAATTTGAGAACAAAACTTCAGTTTGCTTAGTTTCCTAAAAAATTCCAAAGTAATGATGAGCTAGTTCACTCAGGAGCTCTTAGTTCTCACAGAGTGCTGAGAAAAATTTCAGGGGAAAAAAATGGCAGAAAAATGGGACATTACACACACACTATTTACTATTTACTTTGTACAGTTATATACAGACTGTAGCTGCAATGATTTCAATGTAGCTTAGCCATAGTATATAGTACTGTCTCTTTGTTTGGAGCACTTTCCTTCTCTTACAACATAAATACGATAGCAAAAGGACATTGTCTGTGTAAACTCATTAGAATTGCTAGATTTCCAACAGCTGATCGCTAAGCTGCGCTGGTGAAAATTCACCGTCTGAATCACTTTCCGAAAAATCTAAATTTTATTATCCTTATCAGAAATAAAAACATCTGACTGAAACAATTTCAGAGCTTCAGCCGCAGAAAGAGGCATTTTGCGACCTGTTGGAACATTAGTATTCATGGCACTCGAAAACGAACTTAGAAAATGCATTGTTGAAAAAAATTTAGATTTGAATCTGATTAATCTATGCACGTGTGGCTTGGGATATGGATGTTGCTAAAAAGAAATCGTTTAGAGTGACTTTCCCTGAATACTTTAATCGTAGTTCCAAACATTAGAAACAAGTACATAGCCGTGTGCGAAGCAATATGTATGGGACACATGATCGATGATGACAGCGTTGTTTGGGCAAAACGGAACTTTTCAGTCAACGCTCACATCGTTGCTTGGGCCTTATACAGTTAGGACAGACAGACATACTGATTTGCATTTTAAAATAACGGTAGTTTATAGTATTGTAGTACATTTCTGTAAATTCTGGTAGTTTATCTGCTTCTGGACTTTAGTCTTGTTCCTGCTGTTTTCTTTAATGTTTACGGGGGGGGGGGGGGGGGGGGGGCTTAAACAGTGAACATTTCTAATTAAAAAGAGACAGCTGCACAGTTTGCTTAATTTTGACAACCCAAGAAGACAATATTTTCATAGCGCAAACAAAATAAATATAGGAGCTTATATTTAAGCAAGAATTTAGCATGGTCAAAAAATGGAAAGCAATACTCTAGCAACATACACTCAGCACTTGCCAGACATATTTTGAAAACCTTAATATGTAACATACAAACATGAAAGGGAGTTAATTGACATTTTGGGTATTTATTGTGTGTGTTGCTTGAAGCTATCTCACATATAGACCTCCAGCATGTAGTTGTTGACCTTTATTGTAGTTGAGCTGAGTTGACCTAGTTGTGTTTGTGCATTGTTTAATGTTGCATTCCTCCTAATCTTAGATAAATGCCTCAGCTTTAACCAATGCCCTGAGTGCTAGCTCTCAGCCCTGGGTTCAGCTAGGAGAACAGCTGGGTAGGATCGCTAGTCTGCTGACTAAGGACTTTGCTCTTAAAAATGTAGACATAGAACTGTTTGGTGAGTTTCATGCTTGTGGATCTGCTGTTTGATTAACTTGTAAAGCAGGGCTATTCAACAAAGTTTACTCATGGACCAAAATGTTGAAAATGTGGGTTGTTACATCTCAGAGGCAAAGACCTTAGATCATTAATACAGTACAACTGGCAATGCTTCAGGGCAATATGTTATGCCCCATGACCTAAATTTGGCCTGCTGGCCACCAGTTGAATAGCCCTGTTGGTAAGCTTATAGTAGTTTTGAGGTAACAATAACTGTATATTAGTATTATTTCTCTCTCTTCTATACGTGTTAAATTACTTATTTTACTATTTATGTCAACGTTTCATTAGGTTACTTATATCATAGATGTTTCTTGTTTTGTTTTGGTGATGAAGACCTCAGTTGAACTTGTCACAATTGTTTGCATCTCCTTTATGTCATGATTCTTGCTCTTGCTTTAGATGATTATAAGAATTATACAAACCTTGACAACTCATTTTAAGTTGTGGATAATCAGCAAATAGTTTTTACTGCTTGATTATTTATCTGTTTTTTTAGTTCTCACATTTTCTGATGTCTAATTAGTGATTACATGTCTAATCTCCCCTCCCCTTTATGTTGGGGAAAAGTGGGGGGGGGGGGGTGGGGGGGGGGTATTGTTCTTGCTTGTAGTGTCAGTTGATATGTGTGTTAGTCTCATTTAAGTATGATCTGTCAGGTTTAAGCTACATCTGATTGTAAGGTTTTATTGTTATGTTAAAGTAGTGTTATTATATAAAGATAAATATTTTGCCTAACTAATACGGCTGTAGACTAAAATGTCCCAGTTGTGAATTTAGTTATTACAAATACTTAGCTTTTTTATACTGACATTATTGCATGACATTAGTAAAGCCAAGTTTATATCAGATTATGCCATAGTAGTGCAGATGGTACCAGGCTTTCATGTAATGGGAAAGTGGCACATCTCAAGTTATGAGGATGGAGAAGGAAATGATATAGCATTGCATGTAGGTGATTTATCTTTTTCAAAATACATTGAAGAATAATATACTTGATTCTTTCAATACCATGTGATGAGTTCTTTTCCAGAAGTTCCAACCATCAAGTAATGGTTTTCTCTTACCGCCTTGGTTACAAGTATACTAAAGCTATAACTTTCACTCTGACAGTTTCCACACTGCTCTTAGCCAACCTTTTTTGTAATGAGTTACCTATATGATTTTAATATAGGTTTTTTCCTTACTTGAGGAATCTGACTGAAGACTGATGTGACTAAAAGAATTACAAGAAAAGCATAAATAAAGTGGTAATAAAGAATTGTCTGTTGTCTAGGCAGCTAGAAAAAGTAGAATCAGAACCCTATACTTTCCCCTACCCTTTAATGCCTAAAGGGGGAAGTGAATAATAGAAAAAATGGAAGAAAAAAAAAGTTTTAGCAGTTGTTTTGCCACAATCCAATATCCTGTTTTTGTTTAATAAAGTAGCAATTAAAACACAAATTTGATCAGAAATTAGTGGTCTGAAAAGAAGAAAAAAATTGTATTTCTAGAGTCTGTTTGACTATATAAATTTGCAAGTTAATTTTCTTTAAAATAAAAAAAATAAAAATAAAAAAAAAGAATTAAAAAAGAATTAAAAACTGTATTTAGGAATATGTTTTGGGTCAGATTCTTAATTGTCTGTGTTATGATGTTGATTACCTGAGCAGAGAGAAGGGCACACACATAGCTACTTATCTACTTACCTTACTTAACTTGTGTTATCCTTCTGTAATTTGTCTAATTTTCTGTTTTTTAAATTAAATATTTCTGCTTTTGATTTCAGATTTAAAAAAAAAAAAAAAATTTGAAAACTGTCCTGATTAGGTTAAAATGACTTAATAGTGTTTTAAAATACTTATAAATTTTACAAATTATATGACGGTAAAGAACATGCTTAATTTTTTTGAAAATGTTTTACAAATTGCTATATTAGATATTATTCTTTAAGAAATTGAGGTAAAGTAATTCAAGAGAAAAGCTGTAGAACTATAAATAATAATAATAATAGTAATGAAAGTATAGAGTAAATTCATTAAATGTAATTTGCTTGTTTATGCAATTATTATTTATTTAAGGTTTTTTGCCAAGTGATGTCAATGTAATTTTTAACTCACTTGTTTCATCAATTTTTAGGAGAGTCACTGAAAAATGGAGGTTCCTACTTCATTGCCTCTGTTATGGTTGGATATTTGAGTTTAACCCCTTTGGGAGGTGGTGATGCAGCATCCAGCAAATTGAACCTAATCAATGCTCCAGTGTTTGCAAAACAGTCTGGCATTACTGTAAGTATGCATCAAACAGTATACAAGAATCTTGTTTGTGTTTCTTTCATTCTCTGTATGTCTTGTCTGTGTGACTGATTGAATGAGGCTACATGGTCAGGATAATTAAATTGCCAGCTGCTGTATTTATTGCATGGTTTCTTATATCTCTGTGTCACTTATCATAAATAATTTCAGATATTTTGTTTCTTATTATTATTGAAAAGTTAATTTAAAAGTTTTTTTAAATGTAAGTGAGAAGATGTAAAGAACCCTAATCATGTCAGTTTCCCTGTGTGGGTTCCGAGGCCCTATTATAGGGAAAACAAGAATAGACCCACTGCTTACCCAAAAGCATGTCGTAAGAGTCGACTAATTGAGAGCTTCCTTCGAAGTCAGAGTGGAGCTGCCTGAGAGGCAAGGAACCAACAGTCTGCATACACATTAGTCAGATCTGTGAAACGGATGCAGATGCAACACTCAGGTTCTGGAAGAGGACTGCAGTCTAGAAGTGGACAAACAACTATAACTTGCCCCTGGAGTTTACAACCGGTGAATGCAAAGAAGAAGTAGAAGATCATGTCAGGTATGATCATATAATGCAAGACTCATATTTGTACAGACGAGTCGACTTGCAATAGGGCATATGGTCGGCATCATACTGGCCATCTTCACTTCCTATAATTTGTGGATTTCTGGGCCCCGTTGTGGGAGAAACAGGATTATACTCGCTGCCTTTCCAACAAGCATAGAGTAGGAGTTGACTTATTGGGGGCATTCTTTGAAATCAGAGTGCATCTGCCTGAGAGGTAAGGAACCAAAGTCTGCATACAAATAATGAGTCAGCATACAAATAAGCCAGATCTGTGAAAAACAGGACTAAAGTCCAGGGGTGGACGAACAACCAAAACTTTCTGCAATAATTTTCAGCTGGTTGAACGCGAAGAGGAAAAAGAATTAGAGATGTTTCCTGGTACTAATTTTAAGCTTTGTCTACAAACCAATGTCAGTTACAAACAGTCTGCCTGGTGCAGATTTGAACCAACAGGTTTGCATCTAACTACGGGCTACTACCACAACCAGTTAAAATGTGATTAAATCTTTCAATCCCAGGTGTTCTCGCAGAAAATGCCAAGGAAATGAATGACCTTTTATGAAAAATCATGAATCTTTAGATTTAAAACAGGCAAGTTAAACAATGGAAATAGCTAATAGGGAAGCCAGATTTCTTTATTGTGCTCTGATAAATAGTAAAGTGGGAACATAAACATTATGTGGGGGCTGGGATTCATCACACATTGCATGGGACTGAAAGAATTCACATAGACAGCAGCGTTTGTTTATTTCTTTACCTAATGTTTCACAAAATTTGTGTTTTCAGACAAAAGCTACATGGAAAAATGAGCTACCCGCTGAACATGTGAAAGTTAACTTCCAGGGAGCTGGAGGGGAGGCATTTGAACTGCAGGGTACAGTGGCTGGAAAGAATAACCTGCTGCTGTCAGTTCAGGGACATGCTTTCAAGATCCCAGCAACTTTGAATGGCAATATTGTTGTCTACAGAGCTCAGAAAGCTGTGTCAGTGGCAGATGTCTTGAGTGAGTTGATTATCCTGGTCTTCTTGTTCTTTTTCATCTTGACTGGCTGTAAAGTTCTGGATGTTTGTCCTCTTCTAGACTTTAGTCTTATTCCAGAACTTGATTCGTGTGTGCTTGTTTGTGTTACAGGTGTGAAGTGTTTTATGCAGACTGTTGGTTCCTCACCTCTCAGGCAAATGCACTCCGACTTTCAAACACCTAATTAGTCACCTTTTGTGACATTCTTATATAGTTAGTTGAGCTGTGGGTCTATTCTTTTCTCCCACAATGGGGCCCCAGATCCCACATGGAGAGGTTATCCTGTTCATTAACTCTCATCTTTCTTCTTTTGTGAAAATATTTTTATTTAAAAATTAGTGCCTTTACTAAGAAATTTATTATTGTTTTCAGAAGCCTTTGATCTCTAGTGAATGAGTTAGTTCTGGAACTATTTAACAGCCTTGACCTGTGACACAATAATTACACTTTTCCAGATATTACATGTTCTCCCGCACATACATCTTGCACGATACTTATGCTTTCCCATAATTGTAATGACCTACCTGTTTTACCTAATAATTAAACTTTTCAAAACTTGCTAGTTACTTGTTTTACATAAATATTACACTTTCTCATACATTTATTCCTAGCATATTTTTTCAATAAATGCATTTTTTTCAGACAATTGTTAGTTACATGTTTGCACAATAATTAGACTTTCCCATGCAATTGTTATATACCTGTTTTTACACAGTAATTACACTTATCTGTGCAGTTGTTAATGACAGTTGCTTATAGTTCTGCAACGTCCTTTAAAGGATAAGCAACTAACTTTTAATCATAAGTCAGAGCAGCAGCTGACCGAATAGGCTCTCAGGCAGTAGACTCAGGTTCAAATCCTTGGCAGGGTTGGGTTTTTTCTTCTGTTTGTAGCAAAAATAAAATCCAAACCTGCAGAGTCCGTGGCAACACTTCTAGCCATGCAGCCTAAATCCTCATGATCAAAGACCCCATGCCTACACTGCACAAGTGGTAAATACAAGTAGTAATGGCATTTAAAAATAAAAAATGTTGCTTTGTCACATTTCTTGTAAATGTGCATTAGAGGGATGCAAGTTAGCATTTCTATACCATGTATTGAGCTGTACTAAGAAACAGACTTGAAACAGTTAGAATTTGAATAATAGAGTGAATGACAGGTCATTATTTTGTTAGAAATCACTTTTTAGCACTGTACTTGGTGAGTAAGCACAGTTAGCACTCTACTGGGTGAGTTAGCCTAGTTGATATATTTAACTTTTATGATAATGCCAGCTTAGTCTTTTCAAAGTATTTTTCCAATGTAATGTGTTGATAGTCACTTCAGATGAAGTCTTCCATGACATTAAAAGCTGTCCAAGCTTAAGGCTGTGATAAAGTGGTCAGTTGAAGTGCATGCATCAGCAGTCCACAGTTCACGTTAAGCAGAAAGTAACTTTTCATTGACCCCACCTGATAAAATGGATAATAGGCATGAATCTGGGAGGGAGTGGCAGAAAGGAAAATGTGACCATGCCACTGTGTATGGTGCACCCTAGCATAAAAGTCCTGAAGTTGTTACTTGTTTATGTATTATAGACTATAGGATTGTTTTCTTTATAAAAGCAAACTTGATTTTATGGACATATTACTTATTTTAATTTCAGCTGCTGCTGCTAAAGATGGAGTTGAGGTTGTGGCTGTTTCTGCATCAGAAGTGAAGAACTCTCAAGGTTTTGGCATCATAAACCTAGCATCTCCAGCAACTGGCAAGTTGGACAACCTCAGCACAGTTGTAGATGCACATGCTAATACATTGTAGTGTAAAAATAGTCTCTGGGATCTTGTTTATGCAGACTTTGTTATGTCCGTTGCAACATAATTATAATCTAATGTGAAAGACTACATACACTGAAATTGTTCTTGTTTGAAATATTGGTTTTTGGATGGCTGAATAGTTTTAATTTTGCTTATCTGCACAGAAGATTAGTTATTCATCCTGTTTGGTTGTAGAGACTACTGGTCTGCAATGAAAAATTGTAAAACTTGTGTGTAGTCACTTGAGTTAAGTACAGTGATTGTTATGGGTTTCTAGCTGTGTTGTTTAGACAGTTAGGAAAGCAATGGGGTGGTGGTGATGGGGAAAAGAAGGGGGTGGGCGGGGGATGGTGATTGTAAATCCTACATTATTATATTACTGAACGACAAATCTTGCACAAATTGATCGTATTCTCTACGATTATGATTTTTCTTTAAATTTTATTTCCAATTTAGAAATTATTAGTCTGCTTTGGAAATGTACTCCGGGCATCAATAACAGGTTTTCTGAAGTATGAATGAATGACACATTTTGTTGTGTTTTCTGAGAACTGGGTCCAAGAAATGTTTACCATTTATCACCTCAGTATGTTATGACTGGGACAGTCGTTTTTAGCCATGTCTACCTGAGCCACTACATTTTTTCTAGATGATGACGGCTAGTTTTGTGTACACAGGCTGAAAACTATTGTCACAGAATATTTCATTTTCAGCCATGACTGAATAAACATTTCATCTTTAATAAAGTGTTCTCGTTAAAATTAAGCATTCTGTGTGAGTAGGTTGATGTGTGCCAGAGAGAGAGAGAGATAGAAATGCAATTTTTTTTCAAAGGGTTAAGAATTGGATATGCAGGCCAGTCTTACATTCTGCTCTTCTTCCCCTCACTCCTTACAAACATTATTCCATCCAAATTTCTTCTTCTCCTCCTCAAAGTCCATGCTGTGTGGCATTGGTGGTCATGTCTATTCACAACGGTCTCTGTCTCATGTACTTTAAATCAACTCTGACACAGGAAATCCTCCATGCCATGTTGTCAGACAGTCAAGCATCTTTTATCTCGGTCTCTCTCTGCCTCTTCCCCTCCAACTTTCCTACTGTTACAATGAACTCCAGTTTTCTCCTTCTCATTACATGACAAAAGAATGTAGATTGTTTCTTTCTGATGTGGGCAGTGTTTTTGTTGTTGTTGTCGTTGAAGGTAAAGGTCACAAACAATGCCTTGTGAGAATATTTCAGAAAGAATGATTGATTACAGATCTGTATTTCATAAGTGAATTCACATATCAGTTAACATAAAAATAATACACATCTACATCTTATTCTTAATCACAGTAGTTTTGTCTTCCATTTTATCTAAGCAATGACCAAAGGTAATCTGGAGCATTTTTGGATATGATTTTATGAATAAATTTTGTCTAATTGAAAAGTCAGCATTTATGGAGTGGTAGTAGCAGAAACTGTCTCTTCCTTAATTGTTTAAAAGTGCTTCAAAATAGAGAGAAAACACACATGACGTGATTGTAACTAAACTCACAGAGCATGTTGAGAAAGGTGAAAACAGGCATGCTTCTTGCAGAGTGGCAAGCATCACTTCAGAGGTGCCGGGTAGTTAGCATCCTTTGGATATTGTCTCCAGACTATGCCGATGTGTTGGGAAATGAGCAGGCAGATAGACTGGCTGGCTCTGTACCACTTGGTGGTGAATTGATGTATAACAAGTTAGATATTATGAGGGCCATTTGTGAATGGGTGAACAGTGGGGAGACACAAATAGATCATTGCGGTCTGAGGAGAATGGCGCTGCATCATGTATGCTGTAAAAAAAAATATGGTAGGAATCATAAACATGTTAGGTTTTCTGCCAGTAAATGATATATGCAGTACTGATTTTACATGACTAAATTATTAAGGTCTTTAAAAAAAAAATAGCACTTTTTTTTTAAGAGGACAGCTAAATATTTAAGTGATGTGCTTTTTTATTAGTTATCTGCTAACCTTGTAGCTGTATGTTCAAATCATTATTGAAGTGATTTTTTAGAAGGAGAAAAATAATAATCTGGACTTCCATGTTGATCCCGTCTAAAAAAAGGTTCTGGGAAATAGAGGTTACTTTTGGGATTTTGACTACATGAGTCAAATGCTGGGTGGTTTAAAACAGCTGTGGGACTAGCACCATGTGACTCAAGTACCGGGTAGTCTATACAACTATGAGATTAGCACCCTGTGACTCAAGTGCTGAGTAGTCTATACAACTGTGTGACTAGCACCATGTGACTTAAGTGCTGAGTAGTAGCTGTGGAACTAGCACCAAATGACTCAAGTGCTGTGTAGTTTATACAACAGTGGGACTAGCACCAAATGACTCAAGTGCTGTGTAGTTCATACAACTGTGGGACTAGCACCATGTGACTTAAGTGCTGAGTAGTAGCTGTGGGACTAGCACCAAATGACTCAAGTGCTGTGTAGTTCATACAACTGTGGGACTAGCACCATGTGACTTAAGTGCTGAGTAGTAGCTGTGGAACTAGCACCATATGACTCAAGTGCTGTGTAGTTTATACAACTGTGGAACTAGCACCAAATGACTCAAGTGCTGTGTAGTTCATACAACTGTGGGACTAGCACCATGTGACTTAAGTGCTGAGTAGTAGCTGTGGAACTAGCACCATATGACTCAAGTGCTGTGTAGTTTATACAACAGTGGGACTAGCACCAAATGACTCAAGTGCTGTGTAGTTCATACAACTGTGGGACTAGCACCATGTGACTTAAGTGCTGAGTAGTAGCTGTGGAACTAGCACCAAATGACTCAAGTGCTGTGTAGTTCATACAACTGTGGGACTAGCACCATGTGACTTAAGTGCTGAGTAGTAGCTGTGGAACTAGCACCAAATGACTCAAGTGCTGTGTAGTTTATACAACTGTGGGACTAGCACCATGTGACTTAAGTGCTGAGTAGTAGCTGTGGAACTAGCACCATATGACTCAAGTGCTGTGTAGTTTATACAACTGTGGAACTAGCACCAAATGACTCAAGTGCTGTGTAGTTCATACAACTGTGGGACTAGCACCATGTGACTTAAGTGCTGAGTAGTAGCTGTGGAACTAGCACCATATGACTCAAGTGCTGTGTAGTTTATACAACAGTGGGACTAGCACCAAATGACTCAAGTGCTGTGTAGTTCATACAACTGTGGGACTAGCACCATGTGACTTAAGTGCTGAGTAGTAGCTGTGGAACTAGCACCAAATGACTCAAGTGCTGTGTAGTTCATACAACTGTGGGACTAGCACCATGTGACTTAAGTGCTGAGTAGTAGCTGTGGAACTAGCACCAAATGACTCAAGTGCTGTGTAGTTTATACAACAGTGGGACTAGCACCAAATGACTCAAGTGCTGTGTAGTTCATACAACTGTGGGACTAGCACCATGTGACTTAAGTGCTGAGTAGTAGCTGTGGGACTAGCACCAAATGACTCAAGTGCTGTGTAGTTCATACAACTGTGGGACTAGCACCATGTGACTTAAGTGCTGAGTAGTAGCTGTGGAACTAGCACCATATGACTCAAGTGCTGTGTAGTTTATACAACTGTGGAACTAGCACCAAATGACTCAAGTGCTGTGTAGTTCATACAACTGTGGAACTAGCACCAAATGACTCAAGTGCTGTGTAGTTCATACAACTGTGGGACTAGCACCATGTGACTTAAGTGCTGAGTAGTAGCTGTGGAACTAGCACCATATGACTCAAGTGCTGTGTAGTTTATACAACAGTGGGACTAGCACCATGTGACTTAAGTGCTGAGTAGTAGCTGTGGAACTAGCACCAAATGACTCAAGTGCTGTGTAGTTTATACAACTGTGGGACTAGCACCAAATGACTCGAGTACTGTAAAGTTTATACAACTGTGTGACAGTCACCATGTGACTTAAATGTGCTGGGTAGTCTATACAACTGTGGGACTAACACCATATGACTCCAGTGCTGAATTCTATACAACTGTGGGACTAGCACCATATGACTCAAATGCTGAAGTCTATACAGCCATGGGACTAGCACACTATGACTCAAGTACTGGTAAGTTTATAAAACTTTGGGACTAGCACACTATGACTCAGGTGCTGAGTAGTCTATACAACTGTGGGAATAGCACCATATGACTCGAGGGCTGAATAGTCTAACTGTGGGACTAGCACCATATGACTCCAGAGGTGGAAACAGATCCTTTACATAACATAACCCCTGACCCGTTAGGGTTACGGAGGTGTATTGATAAAAGCGCTAGGACATAAAACTAGCCATCTTTCCCTGTCTTCCTCTTGATGGATAAGTATATAATAACTTAGTCCATTTCGTAATATTCTCATTCCAGGTTCTTTGTTAATTTCTTCTTTGACTAACAACCCCCCCCCCTTCCCTAGTGTTTCTTGAAGCAGTCTTTGCAGTTGGTTGTGTCGTCACGTGCTCACACACAAAAATGGTGAAAATATTGGGGGTGACTGCAGTTAAGCTAATACAAGGAATAACAGAGAAATTTGACTAAAAAGCTCAACAAAATGGAGAAGCAGAAAAACGGGCACAAAACAACACAACGTAACGTTTCGACCGGGCGGCCTTTTTCAAACATAAGTGAGCTACACAAACGTAACAACGAGGAGATGAGAGTATGTAGGTCTCTAAGGGATGACGTGAGCAACGTTTAAAAAAATGTGGTGTGGAATAAATTAATTAAAATAAAACAAACGATTGCTAAAAAATATAGTGGTGAAAATATGGGGGTGACTGCAGTCAAGCTAATAAACCAAACCAAGCTAGCTTGTGACGTTTCACCACTGTCAAGAGAGGCTCCTGATGTCCTGCAATTTTTTATATTTTGTCTCTGACATATTTATTAGTTATGAGTTCCAAATTAACTACATTTACATTCGAAAGCCTGAATCCTTCTTTCCATTTCCACAATGAGAGTCCAACTCTTACATCGTATAAGAAAATAGACAAC